AAACCTAAAGAAATAAAGTTAATTACTGGTCAAATACAACACTCATTCTACATTTTATTTAACACATTTTTCATATCAAGCTCAAATGCTAGAAAACATAAAATATTAATTTCAAATACTTTATCGGGTTCTTTATCCATCAGATAAACAGCCAAACTATCCTATTTTGCCTCCAATAACCACACGCCAGATATACAGGGTTAAGGCTATTATTTAGTAAATCAGGATAAGCTGGGTAAGAATAATTTCATCCTCTTGGGGTAGAGGGAGGGGGGTAATTCTCCTTGAAGAGTGAAGTATTATTCTTTACTCTTGAATCAGAAATAGACTAATAATTTCACTAGGCCTAGGCTCGAGTAAAAATCATACAATTCACGCTGATGTAGTGGAGTGATATACAATATAAAAACATGTAGATTTCACTCCTTTTAAACTCTGAATTTAAGGTGATTAGATCAACTTTGTATAAAACAAAAATTGACTTTTTTTAGAGTGAAATTCCACTCATACATTTAGTGTGTATTATAAGTCCCCTGTAAAGGCACAACAATGACCACCTAATTTGTAACCCTTCATCTGGCGCATAGCATATTGAGAACATTAGCTCTGTTGTATGATTTAAAATGATTCAAGATATCTCGTGTTCATTAAATAAAAAAAAAAAACGTTATCTAATACAGTGGTTCTCAAGCTGTGGGGGGCGACACCTTCAAGCGAGGGGTAGTGAACGTATCATGGGGGAAGGTGAGAAGGTTCACACACACGCACACAAGCTGTGGGGGCGACCTTCAAGCGAGGGGTAGTGAACGTATCATGGGGGAAGGTTCACACACACAAATAATGATTAGCGTACACTTCTTTATCTGCGTTTGTAATATAAAGCAAATCTTACTGCTGGCGCTCCTGGCATATCAAAACTTCTAGATGGCGCTATATGTATGAATGCTGCCTTTTTTTTTCTATCTCTTATTTAGCGCGTGTGATATTAGACAAAGTCCTTTTTCATCTGATGTAGTAAGTCGTTTAGAAAGCCCCGGATTGAACTGTTCTGTTCTAATGAATAGCCCCACCCTTCTTACTAGTAGGTAAACATAGCAACAATATGGTATCGAAACCCGGTTTTTAGCATTATAAGCTTTCAAACTTACCGCTGGTCCTCTGGGAGACGTCCCATATAAAATTCACATTACCGTATGTCTAAACCTGTTTCGCTCTAACGGTTTTAACTTTTAGTGATAGTGGATTTTAACCGCTATTATGTACGTGGGTTTGTATGGATGGACAAGAGAAAGGTGATCGTTGTCTAAAGAAGCTTGAGAACTAACGATAAATATTTACTACATTATTCTGTCATTTGAAAATATTTCTATACAAGGTTAATATTCTATTTAACTTATATTATTGTTTGATTGGTAAATTTGTAATATATAAGGTTAATATTCTATTTAACTTATATTATTGTTTGATTGGTAAATTTATAATATATAAGGTTAATATTCTATTTAACTTATATTATTGTTTGATTGGTAAATTTGTAATATATAAGGTTAATATTTTATTTAACTTATATTATTGTTTTATTGGTAAATTTGTAATATATAGGTTAATATTCTATCTAACTTATATTATTGTTTGATTGGTAAATTTGTAATATATAAGGTTAATATTCTATTTAACTTATATTATTGTTTGATTTGTAAATTTGTAATATATAGGTTAATATTCTATTTAACTTATATTATTGTTTGATTGGTAAATTTGTAATATATAAGGTTAATATTCTATTTAACTTATATTATTGTTTGATTAGTAGATTTGTAATATATAAGGTTAATATTCTATTTAACTTATATTATTGTTTGATTGGTAAATTTTTTATATTTAAGGTTAATATTCTATTTAACTTATATTATTGTTTGATTGGTAAATTTTTAAGGTTAATATTCTATTTAACTTATATTATTGTTTGATTGGTAATTTTTTTATATTTAAGGTTAATATTCTATTTAACTTATATTATTGTTTGATTGGTAATTTTTTATATTTAATGTTAATATTCTATTTAAATTGATAAATTGGTAAATTTTTAATATTTAAGACGGATTCCCGTCTCTACAGTTTTTCAATTCTACGTTTTTACATCCAATTTATATCAGCAATTTTCATTATTTATAGTACTGTCTACAACATTCAAAAGAGGGCGGTACTACGAAAGGTCGTTTGTTGTTAAGCCTAAAGCTACATGAATGGGCTGGTTATCATTTCTGTATTCACTGCGGGTATCGAAACTCGATTTTTAACGTGATAAGTCCTCAGACATACGGAGATGGAAATAAGAGGTAGTAAATTTTATCTTTCATACAAAACTGGTACACAATACAGAACGAACACAGGATATGTCTTACTTCTCAGGGAGTTTTCTACTCCTTTTAATTCAAATATGAGCATCAACGTAAACAACTAGCACCATAAACTTGAAGAGAGTCCATATGCATAGATGTTTTCTAAAGAAATATATATTTTAATAAAGTAAATCAAAACCTATTATATTTGGCACATATAACAATAAAATTAGTAACCTTATTTTAACTTTTTTGTTCGAAACGTTCGTTCCACGTATTTTTATGTCGCTAGTCAGATCCACAGACATGGGCACAAATCGCGTGGTTAAGCTCTAAATATACAATAACAATGATACGTGTAACACTAACATACAGCAACTGACCCCTAGTGACAAAGAACCTGAAAATATACGATACACAATATTATCAAAAGTTGTCTTCAGAATGATAATTACATTCAACTAACTTTAACTGTGTAGTCGTCACGTGATGGTGTTGCAGGTAGACTGAAAAAGTTTAAAACCTCTGATCCGAACAACTTACTTTCAAGAAAGAACACCAAGCAGTTGACTTTTCGCAATTCTTTTCCATAAAAATGAACCTCTAAAAATTTTGAATATTACAGGGGAAAGGATATGGCAAACACGTCTGAAAAGACGTCACATTAAAAGTTAAATAAAACATCAAAAGAAAAACAGCTAAATAATAGACGAAACAGCGAGTCAGTTGTACATATAAGATATGAAAAAATAATTTTAAATAATGGAAGAAATCATAGTTTAACAAAGAAAGATACAACTTTAAATCCTTATATAGTAGAAGAAATAATAGTTTAACAAAGAAAGATACAACTTTAAATCCTTATATAGTAGAAGAAATCATAGTTTAACAAAGAAAGATACAACTTTAAGTCCTTATATAGTAGAAGAAATCATAGTTTAACAAAGAAAGATCATCTTTCTTTGTTAAACTATGATTTCTTCTACTATATAAGGATTTAAAGTTGTATCTTTCTTTGTTAAACTATGATTTCTTCTACTATATAAGGATCTAAAGTTGTATATTTCTTTGTTAAACTATGATTTCTTCTACTATATAAGGATTTAAAGTTGTATCTTTCTTTGTTAAACTATGATTTCTTCTACTATATAAGGATCTAAAGTTGTATATTTCTTTGTTAAACTATGATTTCTTCTACTATATAAGGATTTAAAGTTGCCAACTTTAAATCTAAAACATATACGTACTATGGTAGTCGGTTCATTATGAAACAAGAAATATTTGTAAACAGTTTTCATCATGTTTTTCCCAGAGTTAGCACAACAATAACAAGACTTTTGATACAAGCTGAAAAGGGTTTTCAAGAACCATAAGCTCCCTAGGAACTATTCAACGTAAGTTAAAATTGTAAAAGAAAATTACGAGATTTAGTTGAATTACTAGTTTTGGCCCTTTCTTATTGGCTGTTGGTACACACACGTCAGACAAGATTACTTTCGTTTTTCTTCAAGTACTAACATGTTACTAAAACTCGGTAAACTGGTGTCAAAAGTAACGGATTACGACATTTAAGTAATACCTTATTATAATGTATGTAGAGACAGTTTAGATTAGAAAATAATTCGATGCCAAACACGCCGTTCCGGACTCTAAACAGCGAGAAAAGGGGAAAAGCCCGTAAGACCTTGAAAATTTCATCATGATTTTTGATGTTAAGAGTGTTGTAAAGATAGGTTCCACACTGGTTTCTTCTGGGATGTTCTACGTGGAAAAATGACATATACGTCACCACTCGTGTACACTCATGTTGAAGCTGTATACTCCATGGAAGAAGGACATCACAACTCTTGTACACTCATGTTGAAACTGTATACTCCATGGGAGATAGATATCACCACTTTTGTACACTCACATTGAAGGTGTATACTCCATGGAAGACGGACGTCACCACTCTCGTACACTCATGTTGAAGGTGTATACTCCATGGGAGATAGATGTCACCACTCTTGTACACTCATGTTGAAACTGTATACTCCATAGAAGAGATAGATGTCACCACTCTTGTACACTCATGTTGAAGCGGTATACTCCATGGAAGAAGGTCGTCACAACTCTTGTACACTCATGTTGAAACTGTATACTCCATGGGAGATAGATGTCACCACTCTTATACACTCATGTTGAAACTGTATACTCCATGGGAGATAGATATCACCACTTTTGTACACTCACATTGAAGGTGTATACTCCATGGAAGACGGACGTCACCACTCTCGTACACTCATGTTGAAGCTATATACTCCATGGAAGAAGGACGTCACAACTCTTGTACACTCATGTTGAAACTGTATACTCCAATGGAAGACGGATGTCACCACTCTTGTACACTCATGTTGAAACTTCTATCTTCCATGGAGTATACACCTTCAATGTGAGTGTACGAGAGTGGTGACGTCCGTCTTCCATGGAGTATACATCTTCAATGTGAGTGTACGAGAGTGGTGACATCTATCTCCCATGGAGTATACCGTCACCACTCTCGTACACTCATGTTGAAGCTGTATATTCCATGGAAGAATGACGTCACCACTCTTGTAGACTCGCATTGAAACTGTATACTCCATGGAAGAAGAACGTCACAACTCTTATACACTCATGTTGAAACTGTATACTCCATGGAATATGGACGTCACCACTCTTGTACACTCACATTAAAGGTGTATACTCCATGGAAGATAGATGTCACCACTCTTGTACACTCACATTGAAGCTGTATACTCCATAGAAGAGATAGATGTCACCACTCTTGTACACTCACATTGAAGCTGTATACTCCAAGTTAACTTTGAAACATTCTTGATCAGCACTATGTGGTAGAACGTAAACATAACAAAATTAAACACAAGGTGAAGAAAAAGTACCAAAGAACGAATTAACTTTGTGGGGTTTACTAAAATCGTATACTCTTGTTTACTCAAAATAAGTTAGCCTTATAGGTTTCTTCTTGAAATGAAGTAAGGTTTTTACTTTCTGTAAATCACTTACGTTACCGGAAATAGTAGATAAAGACTACAAGAACATTGAGTGATGGAAAAGTTTCAAGTTCATATCTAGTATTTAAGTACATATCCTGTTAACGCCAGAAAGTTGAAGTTAAAAATAAACATCAAGAGCTGAAAATGCTTGTCTTTCTGACAGAAACAAGATGTCTTAGGGTTAACAAACAACGGCTAACAAATTCATTGATCAGTAATTTTACATCAATTTGCATTTTCTGATACTTACCTATCGTATGCGACATTCAGGATTTATTTTTAAAATATGTTACAACCCGCCCCCTTGCAGCCCTGAGGCATGAGTGGATGAGCTGTCAGATTAGTTGTTGGGAACATGGGGACCTTTCTTTGTTGGCTACTCACTGGCTAGGCAGAAGAAAAATGAGTTAATTGATATTCTGACTAACTTTTTATATTCCAATCTTAAAGAATTATTTAACTTCTTCTGTTAAAGTGTTTTAAAAAGCTGCCTCAAGCAACACCAAACTAAACTTGTAGATCTAATTGTAACCAGTTGATTAATCCAATTGATTTATTAGCCACAACTAAAAATCTCTAGAAGAACGTAATTGAACTAAGATGTTTTTATTTTTTTCTCTATTCAGACTTTCGCCAATAATACCAATCTGTCTATGTCGTCAGAAGAACTAAGTTTAAAAGTATCGACACTTTATTGTTACTGAATGAAGGTATCTAACTGACGAATCAGTGTATTACTTTGTTAGGACTAAAATGGTTTTATTAAAGGTTGGTTTGATGAATTTCGCGCAAAGCTAGTGGAGAAATATCTGTGCTAGCCCTCCCTAGGTTTGAAGTGAAAGACTAGAGGGAATGCAGCTATTTAACCCCACCCACTACCACATGCACCATACAAACTGAATATAACAAATGAAAGTCCCAAGGTTACCACAAAACTCCAACTCACATAGTACCAGAAAGTCCCAAGGTTACCACAAAACTCCAACTCACATAGTACCAGAAAGTCCCAA